GCAGGAATGGCTATTGCCCATCTCTCCTGATACAAGAATGAGAGGATATCAAGTCTACCAGGCACCTTCCAAGTAACTGGAAGGGACACAGGAAACTACTGGGAGGTGGAAAAAGTTTCTTGGGTGCCTGCTTTGATCTCATTTCCATTCTCCATCACCGCTTAGGCAGAAGGAAGTGTTTACTTGATTTACAGCGTCTTTAACTAGAGAGTCCTACCCTGAGTCTGCAGAGCGGGTCATTGGTTGGTATGGAAAGTCCTTCCGGGGGGGCAGGCCCTGCTCCTGTAAGCACTGAAGGGGAAATAGAGGTGTTTGGTTTTAATGCCAAAGCCTTGATTGTTTGAACCAAAATTCTGAACACGTTGTAGGGGCTTGGGTTATGGTAGGAGTTGAGAAATAAGAGACTAAGGGTGTATTTTATGTGCCATGACAAATAGCTCAGAATTGTCTTACCTCTTCCTAGCCTTTGCTGTGAAATACGGGGGTAGACACAATGTCTTTTCTCTGCATGGCGGAAACGTTCATTAGCAAGCGCCATGTTTGGCTGCCTGGGGATGAAGCATGATTGCCAAATGTTAGAAGCTGTTCCTAACAGCTGGGAAGGGATTTTTGTAAGGGCAGACTGTTTCGCTGACCCCCTTTCATCCCTGCTAATGGAGCAGCCATCTCCTCCTCCCTGGCAATTCCCTTAGCAGGACGATACACCCAAGATGTATACGATAGCTGTACAGACATGGCCTCCCCTTTGCAAATGTTCACGTAACATGTACGCCATCAAGCAGGGAAGAATATTTTAGGGTCAGTAAGTTTCTTTTAATAAAGTTAATACCAGGAGATGTTGGCACAACTAGTCCCTGTTTAGTTTACGCCTGTCAGAAGCAGGCAGCCTCTCAACTCCCATGTTTGGGTGAGTGTATGTATTTATTTATTTACTTAGCTTTTGTACAATATTCTTTCATCATTCCTGCACTTCACAATTGTTAATTAATCCCACGGCACCCGGGGATTACTACTAATGCTTTACAAGGGAAGGCAGAAACAAGCAAGAAGAGGTCAAATGACCAGGCCAAGGTCATGGAAAAAATTTTTTCTAAAGAACATTAGGTTCTGCAAGATTAAAGTGTTGTTAACTGGTCTGTCCGTCGATGTCAGCCTCCCTTTTGGGGGAGGGGGTGTTTCGGGGGGGCAGTTTTGATATTATCCAGTGTATTTAGAGCTCCTCTTTCATTTTGTCTCTTTAGCACATTTTTTTTTTTTCCTGAGGCAAATGGAGGACAGAGGAGTTTTGTCTGCAGAGGATGATGGGCAGTTTCCAAAAAGGGAGAACGTCGCATGTTCTAGAACTTTTATGCACCATCTTTTCATTTTGCAATTACAAATGGGGGCACCTGACTAATGAAATTAATTGGTTATTTTTTCAAAGTCATTGCAAAGATCCGGGTACCCAGTTCACTTTAAAAACAAAATGACTTGCTTGTCTGGCACCCCTAGGCCTTTTTGAAAGGTCTGCACATTCAAAAGCAGACCCGGTAACTTCCCTGACAGTAAATACTGCAAGTATAGAATATGCTTATGGTGCTTTCTTCTCCCTAGGACTTGAAAGATGACCGGAGTGATGAAGAGGAAGAAGATTCTGTTACAGACAATGAAGAGGAGTCCACAAAGATCTGCAACAAGAACGGCTGTGGGTCAAGCAAACATCTCCTAAACAGCAGTCACCACTAGCCCCCTCCTGCCTCACCTCCTGCGGTGATTCCTGCTCTGGTTTTAACCCAACCTACAGGATAGGATTTAAGTCAAAAGGCTTATGAGAGACTGTGATTGATTTATTGTTGGCTACTGGACCTGGAAAAAAGCCCAGGTTAGAGGGGAGGAAAAAATTGCATAACATGACAAAACGTGTTAATGACCCACTTTCTGAATCGTTGCTAAGGGTTTGGAAAGACGTTTGGACACACTGACTGACAGTGCTCAACAAGAGAGTGTCAGATCATTTAGTGTCCCATTGATTCTAATGTTGTTTTTCAGTCTGGTATAAGATATATTTCACCAAGCAGTTTAATTCACAGATGTTTTGTGGTAGGTAGGTAGCGTGAACTCCACTAGGAACCAAAATTACTCAGTGTGGGAAAAATTTGACAGTGGTGTACAGTTACTAGCGTTTTTGTCTTTAAACCCTCATTAAAATGGCTGGGTTTTGTGAGTTAGATTTCATTTCGTGGAGGCCAGCAGAACCTAACATGGAGGAAGTCAGATTACTTGCCTGTGAAGAGCTGGCTTCACTGCAGAAATATAGGCTTTCCAAAATACACTGTATGATAGATAGCTCAAATATTGTGTTCTAAGATCTACCTGCCAAGGAAGACACTGTTAAAATAACAAAACTCAGCCCCGATTCTCCACTGAGCTCCAGGTTTCACAAATGCCTTCGTCTCAGTCATTTTGGCCCAGTGTTAGAACAGAAGGTGCAGTGGGGAGGGAAGATAGTGAATGAAGATTGGGTCTTCTTACAGGTTCTTTTGCACTTCTTATTTTTCTTCAAAACTGCTGAACACCCTCTGCCTCTGACACATCTACAGCCCAGGAGATTAAAAATAAATCTCATCCATTCCCTTCTTGTGAGCTTGTCTCCCACAGCAGCATGGGATGACTGTCTGCTCGGAAGCAAGTCCGCTAAATTCTGTTTTGTGGTTCCTGCATGTTTACTGCGTGCATCTGGTCAATGGGGGAGTATGAGGCTAGCAAGGAATGTCACATCGTCAGTGCTGTGTATTCATTTGATATCAGGATCTGTATTTCCATTTCTACTCTTTTTGAAAATTGGGAAGCACATCAGCTAGAGCCAGGCTTGGATGCGAGTATGTGACTTAGGCCACCTACCATTGTTCATGCTGCAAGAAGTGGAGGAACAGTGGGTGTTTTATCAGCTCCTCTTACCAAAAGTGCCTCTGCCCAAAGTTTGCACTTTTGTTCTAACTCTAGTGCAGTGTGCAGCAGCATTTTTAGTTTTGGGGCTTTCCAAGGAGAGCCTGGGCCTTTTAAACAGGGTGGTACCAGTCTCATTTCCAGATGCATTTAGCTCACAAGGTCACAAATGTTTGTGCGGTAAGTTTTAGAGGTGAGAGGTTCTCGTGTGGTCCCTACAGTAGCTGAGATCATCTGGTGAACTAAATCCAGTCTCTTGATGGAGACCAGGGGGACCACTGCATAAACAGCCCCAGTGCGGAGCTCGTGGTTCGGAAAGGCTCCTTTCCCCTTAAGGCTGCTCAGGCAGGAATTTGGTGACCTATGGGAAGCACTATGCGACTGACTTGTTTTCCTAAGATTTCTTTGGCAAAGGGAGATATAATTCAGCAACTGAAGCATTTGAAAGAACGGGAAATGTTTGGGATCTGAGATAGGAAGACAGAAGTGTTTTCTGTGCAGTTATAAGAAACTCTAGGAGTACTTTGTTACAGAGGCTGGTAGTATGCAAATATCTACGTACAATCTGTTGAACTAGGCTGTGTTTGATTTTTGATGTATATTTTGGACCATGTAATACCCCAAACGTTCATGTTGTACCACAAAGAGAATTGCACTGAGAAAGGAGCATGGCCTATAGCTTCTGAGAAGGATGGGGAAACACGCAGCGGTGGGACAGGACTCCTGACCCTGTGGTTGTAGTTCAGTAGGGCTGCGCAGGCAGAATTCCCTCAGTAGTTGTTGTATAGCAGTGTGTTTCCTTACATAGCTGTAGAGAATACTTTAAATACTGCAGCGTGGATTTATTGGAAGTGTAAGTACTTATTACATCATCTAAGGCAACTGGTGAGCTTGGCAGGGTCACGGTTGCTTATCGGGGCCTGTTTATTGTCTGCACGAAGAGAACTGGCCTTTCCTAACAAAATGTAGAAGCCCGACGTCTTGGAGGCTTTACGCCCCCTTTGAGAGCAGTGGAGACAACGATGCTTTCTACAAGACACGGCGGGGTTTTGGGAGATGGCCAGGGTAGTATCACTTGATTTTGGTGCCAGAGAGCTTTCCTGCTATGACTAGGAAAGGAATTCAGGAAAGGAAACACGAAGAGTGATGTTGTCACAGGAGCGAGCCTCTGAACAACTACTGAGTCTTAAACTAGAATTTATAGTCTCGTTGAGGCCAAATCTTGCCCTTCTTACTCGAACAAGTCTCCCACTGAAGCCAATTAACTCTACTGGAGTTTTGCCTAGGAAAAATTTTGGTTTGCAGTTATCCAACCTAATTACAAGACCCGTTGTTTTAAACTGATGTGAAACTAGGGTCTTAAAGGAAGAGTAAACTGTAGATTAAATACATTAAAACGTAAAATGTTGAGGCAAATTTTGGGCGCATACAGAAGAATATTGAAGAAAATAATGTCCTGAAGGTGAAGACTAAGTCTAAGCACAGTGAACAACCAAATAACTACATCATATGGGAGTAAGGTATATGGAAGGAATGAAGCAAGGCCGTGGAAGGCCCTGCCAGGGGTTACTGTCATGGCCAACCAAAGTCATAAGGCCTAAAAATTCTGAACGTAAACCACTGGGTACTGGCGATGAAAACCCACAGCACAGAAAGAAGTGGGGACAGATTGTCAGAGAGGGACCGGACACGCCCTGTGTTAGCATTGGATTTGTCATTCCTGAAGTTACATGCGTTTCATTTTCCACTTTTTCTTGTTTCTGACTTTCTATCAGGAAGCTGAGGTCATGGAGAACACAATTCATGCTAAAGAAATTATGTCATGGTGCTTCAAGATTTTCAGTCTATTCAAAGCCCTTAACATTTTTTTTAACGTTATCATGAGAAGAGTGTCAGAATGCAAGTGCAGAACAATCGTAGGTAACGCATAGGAGCATGACAGACACTAATGCGTTATGTTGACCATTTCACCAAACAGGTCCTGGCTTAGCACTTGGACACTGCGCATCTGGTTTTGCTATCTCACGTTGACCGTGCCAAAACATTTATGAGAGAATTATAGAATGAAAATGAAATCTTAGTCCATTATAATCAGCGGAAATTTCTCTGTTCCATTTAATTCCTCTGAATTTTATTCAGGCCCTCCTGTCCGTGTATTCTGTGCTGCCTCTGTACTTGTTTACTACATAGATTTACCAATCTACTCTGGATTTGATTTACAGATCTCCTTCACTCCACAGAACTCATTTTGTCAATTTGTATCATTCAGTATAATTATTTTTTTTTTTTTTTTTTTTTTTTTTGTTCTTAATGCCACTGAATTTGTCTGGTCAGTTATGCTACACCCCAGAAATAAATATTTTTTAAAAATAGGTATCTATCTAAGGATTTCCTTGTTTTCCCTGCCTTGCAGCATCCTCCTCTCCGCTTTTCATTCCCTCCCAGCTTTCCAATCAGGGCCCATTCAGGAATTAATTCCTTACTCTTCCAAGTTTTTCCCTTGCCTGGAAAAGGCTGGATGACCCATCCCCTTCTTAAGAGGTAACAGCAATTGTTGTAAATGAGCTTTTTTTTTTTCCTGGACAATTCGTGACTGCAGAGGAAGCAAAATCAATGTGTGCATCATCCATCACTTGTAGTATTCAAGATTTATGCTCTGACTAAAGTACTTGAAAGCGGTCCTGTGCACATGAGGAACTACTCACTGTAGAATGCCAACACATCTTTGTATCTTTATTTGGTTGGGTCTTGTTGTGCGTATTGGGGCAGTTTATGAAGTTACGTGTATTTGAGGAATGTTAGAATAATAAGCAAATACAGAGAGAATTCTTTTTTTCCTGGGAGGGCTTATGTCCATGTGGAGTCTGAGGCGCTATTGCCTGGTCAGATCACTGTGGGATTGCTACCTACATGTCTCATCATAAGCACGCTTGAGACAACTCGGATGTGGCTCTTAATCTGGCAAAAGCAGGAAAGCTCTACTGAAAACAAGGGAGCCGTGCTGATTTGTGTCAGCTGAAAAGCTGTTCTGTATTTCTTATTCTTTCCATTCCTGCCTCCCTGGTCGGGAAGATCACGGAGGCTCTGACTTAACATCTCTTCCCATGGGCAAACAAACATAAGGGAAGGTGTTTCAGCCCAAATAATGAACTATCGCAGAATACTTTGGCTTTATTATCTGAAGTCATTTTTTTTTAAGCTTATGAGTAAGAATAAAGTAGATGGAAAACCAATCGAACAGGGATCTGTGAGTTTTGGCTACAAACAACTTGCAAACTGTGAAGAAAAAAAAAAAAATCTTGCTGATTGAGAAAGAAAAACACCATCTCCACAGGCACTTCCCCTGGCTGTGGGCTTGAAGAACAACAGATAACCAGTGGGCAAAAATGAAAGTCCATGCTGAGAATAAGAACACAGCCCAGTTGTGAAAAGGCCAAAGGGAGTTGATTTGATGGCTCTTAGCTGCCCAAAAAAACCTTTTCCCGCCGAGCAGCAAACGAGCCAAGGAGGCACCTCTGAGCTGATTTCCTTGGTTGCGTTCAAAATCACTGAAAATGTCTGCTCCTGTTGCCCAGTCAGTTTTATGGGCTCCCTCCTGCTCTGTCTTGTGCCATATGGAGCCAGGGTTTTGTTTCTTGCCTATGGAGTTTGAGCTTTGGCTGCCCGAGGTGTGGACCCCGAGGAGGATAAACACCTCTGACTGGCTGAAGGTCACACAGGACATCTGTATTCCCACCGAGAATGTGATTTCTGCTCATGAAATTTATGAAATCTACCCGATGCCCATGCTTTCGAGACAGAGAGTAACCAATGTGTGTCAGACAGCAAGCACTGTGGGCCACCAGCACCATCGGGAGGGAGCTGACCTTTCCTGAGCAGAGCTTCGTCAATAAGGAGAAGACAAGTCAGCAGAGGACTTGGCCGACTCATCACGTGGGTTTGTCTTACAGACATAGGTGTGAAAGACTCACTTAAAGGCTGCTTTCTCCAGCTCTTTAGTAGCGAGCATTTTCTCTCACCTTGTCTCCATATTTCTGCCTGATGCTGCTTGGTTTCTAGAAGTTGCCGAACAAGGTCAGAGCAGTCATCGCTCACTTCTGAGAGTAGCCAGCACCAAAAGCTCAAGAGATGGATCCCAAACCAGCAGCCCGGGGTAATCCCTCTCCCTGTCTGGGATGAGGCAGAGGTAGGTTTGTGCTCTGAAACACGTTTTGGGCGAGTAAGGGTGTTCCCACGACCAGTTACAGCTCTAGGTGTTCTTGCCACTCGTGTACAACAGCCAGCTGCTCTGTGCTGCAGGGGCTGGCCACACCTTGAGTGAGGAACTTAGTTCAACCTTAGGTTCATTTTGTGTTTGCCACCCTGCCAACTCAGGTGTTTTGGTCACCTGGGTTGCTGCTTAACCTCATCAGCAGAGATTTCCCCATTCCCTGTCTCTGCTCCAACCTGTAGTAGCAGCAGTGGTTGCACGTACTGCTGAGTAGCACGCTTGCCTGCTGAAGTGTAAACTATTCGGTATATCAAATGTGAGAGGGGGAGCATCACAAAGTACTGGGACTTAAAGGGGGAGAGGGGAAATCATTGGCCAGAAAACCAGGACTCCTGCAGGAAAAAAAAGTTTCACTTTCTGTCCTGTCATCCACGTGTGTTAAATCTTAAGCAGCAGAGAGGAGGTAAAGCCCTGACATTAATCCCTTGTCAAAGAATGGGATTCCCAATCGAGGAAATGGAGGTGATCAAAGCAATGTAATCTTCACCCTAGATGACTGCAGAGAACTTCAAGTAGGGCTCTGAGAGTTTATTTAACTGAAGTACCCTCTGTGGGATTACTTGAAGTTTCTAGCTTAATAGAAGGCAAGGCTGAAAGCACAGGTCTAAGCTTCAACATACGACTCTGCAAATACAAAGTCATAACAACCCATGTAGGATAACGTTGTTGATGTTCCAATAGTCCCAAGATTTATGAAAATATCTTCTATTTACTCAGCTGGAAAGAGCCCTGTTCTTCTGGAGTTTTGTTACCCCATAAAGCATTCAGAGGAGACCCCATAATCATTTCAAAGTCAGAAACATTAAGTGGAATAACAAGTATAAACCCTATCCACAGTGACTTTGAAGTGCAAGAAGCATGTCCTTGTAGCCATAGAATATTACTCTGCTTTGAGCCGGAGTGGGAAGAAACAGCTCCCAGGCAGTTATTTCAGGTGGTGAAAAGTCCGTATTTTTCCTACCACAAAAGAAGCTGGTCTAAAAAAAAGTTAGACAGTGAAATAGATGATTAATTCTCACTGAAATTCACAGGAGCTTTTCCCATGATGCGGATGAGAAATGGATCCTGACCTCAAGTGACCAGATAAAATGATAGGGGCAGCATGGCACTGCATTCTCCAGCCATCAGGAGCAGCGCACAGCCCCAGTGTTTCCTCCTCCTATAGCCCAGGGCAAAATCCTCCCCAGAAACTGAGATCTGTCTGCAGGACACTCACCTGAACACAGTTCTGCCTTTGCCTCTGCCCAAACTGGGCATGTATCTCTTGAAAGACAACCCTGGGAAAGCTGTCCCTCCCCTTTCAAGCCAGAAACTTCACTTTCAGCAAGCAGTCTGCCTCCTCTCTTCTGCGCTGTTCAAAATCTCAGCAAAGACTGGGTTGCTGATGCTAAAGCCTGCCATCCCAGGCCAAATTTACCAGGAAAAGGCAAAAGACGAGCTGTGGTTATCACAACCACCTTAGCATGTGAGTGTGTGAGAGGGCTGCTGAGCCACAGGAGAAAAGGGAGCAGAGAGAAACTGGAGGCAAATGGCAGCACAGCAACAGCTTAAACACAGAACTGACATCACCAAGAATCACGAAGTGAAGCGGTAACAAGGCTAGGAAGACAAAAAAGCCCCAAGAGAATAAGGAGGAGGAAAAAGACGGTAGTTCAGTAATACTGGGGATCAGCCCTTTCCAAGCAGCAGAAGCCAGCTTTGCCTGGACTCCGAGATGAACTCTGTAGCCAGGACAACTCCTTTCCCCTGAGCACCAGCGGTTTCAGACTGAGCCCAGCCGATGAGTTCCCAAGGCCGGAGCAGAGGCAGCAGGATCTGGGAAACACTCCTTTAGCAAGTTCCCAGTATGTGAGTGAGGGGACAGGGAGGGACTCAGCTGGGGCTGGGCCAGGGTAGCCACAGGCAGAGGCCAGCAGACCTGCAGCTGTGGCAATGACCCCATGGTTCACCTCCAGTTGCTGGGCAAGCCTGACTCGCCCTTGAGTCTCAGCGTTGGTTTTGTGCTTCTCCTGGCTGGCTGAGACTCCCCGAGAGTCCTAGAAGAGCTCCTGGAAAATTTCTGTGTTTGCTTCTACAACAAAGAGCAGAAGAAATCTCTTCAAAGGCCTTTCTAGTGCTAGCACGTACGGGTAAGTTTCTTGGTTATGTCACAGGCTGTGTAAATGCAGGAGAAGTCCTGGTACTGCAGGAGAAGAATCTGTGGGAAGCAGGAGCTAAATCTTATCAGCTTGTGCTACATCTCATCAGGCTATGCAAATCCTACTTAGTTCCTTTGCTATTTTAAAGGAGGAATTATTCAGCAACCAAAGAGTGTTTCATACATTTCCCTATTGCAAGGGGCAGTGAGGTCAGATAGTGGTTGTATGTCTTGAGGTTTTTTTCCCTTTGAATCCTTTGGCTCCTGCAAGGATGCACTTGAGCAGAGACAGGGCACTGTAGCAATAGCCCCTGTTGCCTTGAAGTGAGGACAATCCTATAACCCATGCTATACCGTAGGGCTCTCACAGCATTTTTTGAACCTGGAAATTGCTCGCCACATCCACTTTTGTTCTGCACTTTCCCCTCCTGCACCCAGTTCTGCTCTCACACAAAATCCGCACAAGAGGGAAGCTGGGTTGCTTACTCCTTCCCCTGCCCTGGCACACGCGGCTGACATGAGGGAAATCATAAACCAGCACCGCCACGGCTTTTTTTTTTAACATTTAGGGACTTATCCAGAGCAACATCAGAGCTCAGCCATGGCTTGTGAGGTTAGTCCAGCATCCTGACGGGCGGCAGGGTCCCAGCATTGGAGCTGCCAGCCTGCAGCTGAGCATCCCTGTTCTGGGCCATGGAAGGGCCAGGCTCCTTTCACTCAATGTTAGCGAGAGAAAGACAAATTCCTGCTCTGTAACACGATGTTGAGATCAGAAACACCGCTGAGTTTCTCCATTTTGCACATCAGAGAGGATTTTACTGCCTGCCAAGGGAATGGATGCTCCTCTATCCTGTTGCATGACAGAACCATAGGTGCCAGTGTGAAACGCACAGCAAATAGCGCTGTTGGGCTCTGGGCCAAGGCAGC